GCTGGCTGGAAGTCGGTTGTCGACAGACAAAGAGGTGCGTTTGATACGCAAATAAGTGAATACGAGCACAATCCTTTACGGCACCAAATACAGAGTACCTTCGCTCAGGAACGGGGGTGGATTGCTGGTGCCTTGCGAAAAGTGGAAAGCGGGGGAGCGTGAACCAAATGCCTTGAGGGTATACTCACATATTTGTATCTATGAAATTATGTTAGTTTAAGTGGCAGAAGATGCGGAAAACTCTAATGAAAATTAAGCTCAATTGTGGGATTGTGAAATTGTGGCATACCATAAAGGATATGCTTGCTTTCGGAAGCGCCACCTTATGGAGCTGAGCACATGTGACATGACACAAATGTGGATAAATATAATGTGCTTTACTTGTATCAATAGCGGTTGTACAATCAAGATAACACGGAGCTTCAGAATAAAAACAAAACCACAAACGAACGGAAAAAATGTAGAGGTGAAGGGTGATGGAGGATGTGTACCATGGCTCTGGTTGTTTATACACACCTCTATTAGTTCGTATCTTCTAAAATTCTCATATCATATCCCAATCAGAGTTGCTTGCTATTTTAGACAGTTCCACAAATAAATAGACAATAAAGCAAAGTTTATGCCAAAAGCTAACCAGGGACGTCACACGTTACTTATGTTTTGTGTGATGAATAAAGTGTGTTACTCGTGCAAAAAAATCCCAACTGGGGCACCCCACGAAAGTTCGATAACTAGCCCGAAACTTCAAGATCCACTTTTTTCAGCGGAATCCCTCTTCTTTCGAATGCGGATGCTGCAGTTAGCAGTGTGGGTTCTGCAAAGGTGCTCATTATTTACTGGGATAATCAATGATTTTGAATTTACGTAGTATTGATTTACTTCGGATTACATTGCTTATATTTCAAAGCTGATGTGATCAGTAGAAAGTGACCCTGTTTTAATTTTCGAAAGACAATAAACTGAAAGAAATGCCTCCTATTGGCTTACACACCGGTGTTGTGCTGACTGGATTGGTGGGACTTCTTGCCAAGAGTTAGTAGAAATTAGCTGAAAATGGTGGTGAGATGATCGGAGCATAATGTTGGACGTTTTGCCTATTAAGTAATGGGTCCAGAGCCACAACCAGTATTTTCGGGGCCACCGGATTACCTAATTAACCCCAAAACAGAGGCTTTGGATCGGATCGCATCAATTGGTGTTTGAAGAAACTCCAGGTAGGTGCGACCCGATTGACTGCGGTAGGATGATATAAGTGGATTACACAAATAGTAGAGGCTTTATGCTGTCCCCTGACGAACGCGGGAGAGTAATAAAAGAGCGATACGTGCGCCTCGTAGAGTATATGGAGACTTTATTGCCAGTTCTGAGTAAATATTGCCAATACCAAAGGATATCGAGGCACTAAAGTTAATCGAATATTTGCGTTTCAAACCACTTATAACGAACTTTCATTGCTCTACCCTCGTTTAGCGGATCAACGCTGTAAAAGATCTGCACGCGTCGGCAATAAACTTCAAATATGCAACAATAACAATTGGAATCGGAAGTGAAGTGGAGTTCATAGATGGAGTCGGCATGTCTTTTGGCCGACCGTTTTGTATTGCTTGTTGGGAACGTTAAGCTCTGGCAGTCCATTGTACTGTAGTAAACACAGATTTGTGGTAGCAGTAACGACTGAACGGTGTGCGCGTGCGATTTGCCTACACATCAAAGGTGATTCGCGACTGGCGACCGACACAAACAGTAACGCCAACGCAGGTAAAGCTTAACAGTGCAGAGGAGGGTTGGAAGGAAAGCAAAGAGGCTGGGATCGGAGGTGATGCGCACAGGCTCGACTGCCTAACTTCAGACTCTTCTCCACTATTTATTCAAGTGATTTTTGAATCTACTCTTTTTTTTTTGTTGTTTCTACTTCTTATTCGTCCGGCTCGACTTCAGTGGTGCTCGTACGTTCTTCTGCTTGTTTAGACGAACAATTTAGTAGTTAGCTGTTGGTCTATTCAGCGGCTGTCAGTAGCGATTTGCATAAAAATAGATACAAGTGGCTGAATGTATAGCTCGCCGCTACTGCCGCTACTGCGCACCACTGGCCTTATCCAACAACTGACTTTTGGATTCTCCTTTTACTGCTGCCGTCCGAGCTGACAAAAGGCAACATAATTACATGATTTCAGTTGGCTATTCATGTCGGCAGGCGCCATTCGCCTTTGTTGACTGTTCTATAACTTCACTTGAGTTGGTGGAGATGGAGTCGGATGTCGGTGTAGCTGGGGGTTTTGTGTCTTTGTGGAGCTGTGGAGTAGTGGAGGCGTTCTGGCTGCTTGGGTTGAGGTGTAAATTGCAGAAGTACTTTGCTTGTTTATAAAAAAGTGTCGCCGTGAGTAAATCAAGTGGCAATTAATGAATGTCAACATTTGCAAATGAGGTGCCAATGAAGTGGTTTGTGCACTCGAATCATTCGTGGTTGTTGGTAATGGGAAACTCCCATTGTTATGTAGAGGAAATGTCGTTGTGAGCTCTATTTCTGCTGTGAGTAGTTTTTTCAACCGGACTCGCGATGTCCCTATATAACTTTCTAGTAGAGACTCTCACCCGCCTCACACTTTCTATTTGGTTAACGTGATCTGTCCTGCCTCCCTATCCCCTTTATGTGTCAATTTACTTTTATTTAATCTTTACGCGGCTTCCTTGGTTTTTTGGGCTTTTCGCTTTTCGCCTGTAATCAAACATAATTTGCAGACCTCCAGGCCCGAGTTACAACAGCTTACACAATCAAAGACATCTTAATACACAAAACCAACTGTTGGTGTAAAGCCACAGACACCAATTGTGATTTGTTTCTTCTCAAATCCGAAGGAGTTTTTATTGTTAGCCTTTTTGTCATTTTTAATATCCTTCCAGAGTGCACCTGTTCTTTCGGCGTTGGCCAAGACAACCACAAATGCATCATTATGCTTTAGCAGCTTCTCTTCAAGGTTTGGCCACAACAACATTCAAGAACGACAATGACTTTAAGACAACAACAAAAACAACTAAAGGCATACATAAGTGTCTTCACTGTGCCCGTATCTGTGTCTGTTTGCTTGTCAGCCGCAATTTCTATAACTGTGTCGAAGATACCGGTGGTGGGGCGGAGGAAGAGCTCTTCAGCGACGTAGAGACTTAAACGATTAACTGTTCTGCGGTGTGCGTTTTTTTCAGTAAAACTGTTCTCAGCGAAATCGCTTTGGGCTGAAGTTTTACGGCAGCGACAACAGCAGTTGCGGTCGAGTGGTTTTCAACTCGAGTGTCCTGTAGTGGAGATTTCAGCCGCAGCTCTTTTGGTCTGCTTTACATTCACCGTCCATACTCCCCAATTCCATTGTTGCATTGTGCTCAGCGCTTTGCTGTATTTCTGATTTCGTGAACCCGTGCCACTGGGACGTACTTCAACACGCATGCCACATGCCACACCACATAGTGCTGGTAGAGAGTCGATTTAAGGAATACGTTGCGCGTGCGCAGCATTGACGCCGCTAAACCTCACAAACGTATCCCTTCCCGCTTTGTACCGCCAAAGTTTCTGAAACCACTTTCGTTTATTTAAGTAATTTTTGCTATCCGGCTGACTGAGGTTGCTATTCCTGCTTCTGATTGCAACTGTTGCGGCGTGAGCTGCATCGTCTTGTATTGTTTGTACGAACCATGACATCTACCGCTACGTGAAGATTGGGCAAGCGGTTCTTCTACCAAAGTGAGCTCAGGACTAACGATGGAACATAGCTGAGAATTTGGGGTAAGCCCCACGAAGTTAATCCATATGTTAGGCTCGACACAAAAATTCATTTATCTATAATCCTAAGGATGGAGAGACAATTGAAATGGACAAGTCTCGGAGACCTCAGAGAGGGCTCCCAAAAGTATAAACTGAAGAACTTAACGTCAGCTTAAGTAAAATTAGCCACCGGGGACTATCGACCCTCGACGGACGGACGGAATATCACTTTGTCTCCCCACGTGTAGTGATTGTTTCATTCGTTGCAGCTGCTTTGTTGTTGCTGCTGTTGCCGTAGCATGTGTGTTGCGTTTAATAACTGTTATGGCATCAGCTGTGATTGTTGTTCTTGTATTCGTTATTGCAGCAACCGCAAAACCGTAACAGTTGTTTTTATAAGTGCCACAAAGTGCCACACGACAGCACACACGACGCTATGGCTACAGCTACGGCTCTGGCTCCTGCTCTGGCTCCCAGCTCAAGGCGTTCAGCCCTACACTCTACATTCGTAGTTCGGCATTTGACGGTGTGGCTGGCAACGCGCTGCTCATAAATGCCTTTTAATCATAATCACTGTGATGGAACAACAACAACAGCGATAACAACAACACCAAAGACACAGCCACAGACACAGACACAGACTAATAGCACAAGCAAGTTGCGGCTAGCATTGAGTAGTTGCAATCTCGCTGGCCATACTCGCAACAGATCGTGCGCATACCACGTGCCAATTGTTCGGACGCGTCGGCAGCTCCATGTACCGACCGAAGGCGGCAAGGGTAGTGTCGATTGCAACTGTTGCTTTTGATTGCTTCTTTTTTGCTTTAGTACGAGTGGACTGTTACTGCTAGCACGGTTGGCGGTTGGCTGTTGGCGGTTGCTGTCGTTGTAGTTGTTATTGTTTGTTGTTGTTGGTATTGTTAAAACGCACCTTGCCGCAATCTGCAACTGCAGGTCGTAGCTCAAACAAAAAAAAAACTGGCACGTTGGAAGACTGAGTTGAATCAAAGGCTCGCATGCGCTTAGGGTTGGCCTGCGAAGACACTCAGACGAGGTAACCGCAATTTAACGCAACTTACTTTAGTAGCAGCGACATTTTTTGATTTTTCGCCTTTTGGTTTTTAATTATTTCATTTTTTTACTCCTCTGCTACTTAAAAATAAATGTTTTTTTTGCAGATTTTTTATTTGTTTTTATTTTTTACCCTCTCTCTCTCTCACTCTTGTGGGCTCTTTCCGAAAGGATTTTTAATTTGCTTCTGTTTAAACACTCGCATTATGTAATTAAAATAGTTAATTTCTTCATTTTGTGCTTCTTCTTGCTGAAGTATATATTGGTAAACATATTTAAACATATTTATTTGTATTTTCGAATATTCGAAATTCTCCAACTGCCGCTGAACCAATAAATTCTACTTCAATTGATCGAATGCCTGACGCAACATCTGATTGCAAAGTGCCGCAAAAGGATTGATCTCGACCAGCTGGAAAGAGTTTTTAAGTGATTATTTGCTCTAGTATACGTTCTGTATGTAGTATGCAAGTAAATATGTGTATGTCACAAAGTGGTTGGGAAAGAATTTGAAAATATATTTTTACCTGGGACTTGGCGAATTCACTACCCAATTCGGCGGCATCTTCGAAGTCTCTACGCGCTGCATCTAAATTGTTTTGTTTTCTATAAAGAACGCCTCGTTGACAGAGCGCGGTACATTTGGTGCGGGGTTGTGCGGCACACAGCTCAAGAGCTTGGTTGAGATCGGTGAGCGCTTCTGGAGAAGAAAATAAATTTATATAAATAAGGATAATACAGAAAAGTTTGTACTGAACTGTAATTTGTACTCCTGTCTTCAGCAGGACTAATTTCCAGTTCCGGCTCATATCGGTAACTTCGATCTTCGTTCTTATGTCATTGAAAACACACTTGGCAACGTACACAGCCGAACAACAAAATTTTGAGGCTGTTTTTAGATTTCGTATTCCTGGGGAAAACCTTACGGCCTTGAACTTGCATACTTGAGTTCTACTGTTTCCCCGAATACGTGATTAAGAACTCTTATTGCAGGCACAAACAAATCCATTTCCGTTGTTTCGATTACCAAATTAGCATAGTTTACACTAGAAAGTTTTTGATTTTCCAGCGCTAGATGTCACCACAACTGGTCTAAATACAAAGCTGAGTAAGGTTTGTGTAGAAACTTTGCTTGCTGCGAACAAGTAATACAGTGCCGCTCATAGCACACACAATTTGTGAGCTATTGCAATCCAGTATGTGTCAAAAAATATTGTTGCAGCGCGTAATTTTTAATTTTTACACATTTATTCTAGAAACCAGCATTTTGGACAAATAACCACTCACCTTCATCCCTGCCAGAGAGGCGTAGCGCTTGTGCGCGGTTATTATAAACGGAAGCACGTGCTGGTGCCACACCGAGAGCCTGCTCGAAAGCTTGCAGCGCCTCGGACAATTTGCCCTCCTCCGCTAATTTAATGGCACACACTTCCAGCGCTTTTGATTGCTGCACTGCTTCGCTGTCCTGCTCTATGTCCACCAATTCAGCTGCTGCGTCTGATGCAATGGTTTGCGGCGCACTCGAGGTGAGTTCGAGCGGGTTGAAAATGGAATCGAGTACTTGTTGATCGTGCGCACTGAGACATTCGCGTGAAAAAGGTCTGGGCATTTTCTGTTTTCAATGTTTATACTTCTCTGGCACTCCTTAACGGCAATTAATGAGCTGGTAAAAAATGTTGTTATCACAGTTAGCGTTCGCGTGGTACTAATTTGTTACGCGATTTAAATATTTCCAAACAAGTTTTATGTGGTAAACAAATGACTGTTTTGCCTCAGCTCTAAGCCAGTTAAAATGTTAATGAAGCAGAGGAACTGGTTCGAGCGCATGCTTGGTTTTAATTAAAGCTGGTGTTTTGATTTGAAATTGGAGAAAATCTAGAAATCGGCTTACACTGCAAAAAATTGTCCTGCCTAAGGTTAACTCTCTAAGAGTTAAGTGATGAAATTAAGAAAAAATGCTTTAATTATTTTTTAAAAACAATTTATTAATTTTTTCTCCTTTTAATTTGTTAATAATAATAACTTTGTTTTCTTTCTTTCTTACGCTTTTACATTATTTATATATCTTCTTGCTGTTGCCGTTTTGTATTTGCGGTGTATTTGGATTTTCCTTTTGCTGAGCTCATGTACGTATGTAAATACAAAATATAACTTTTTTTTTAATAATAATTAATAATATTTTTTGTTTAGTTTAACGTTTTGTAAGAAATATTTTGTTTTAACAAAAAAATTAATTTTATATCAATTATAAATTTTAAACTCTTACTACATCCATAATTCGATAATAGTAAATCAGCAAATCTCTATAATACACTTTAATTTCTTCCATTGCTATTGTATATATGCATGTTTGTATATATGAGTCTGGTTTTGATAATAGAATTTAAATGCGAAATATAATCAGCAATAATTCAAATTACTTTACTATTTAAATCTCAAATCTTCAAGCTTTTAAATTACAGTTTTGGTAAAATGAAAAGTATTTATTGGATTCTGTTAAGGAAATTTTTAATTTTTTCACATTTTTTATATTTCTTATGCTTGTATTTACATATTTATATACGGTTTCTTTATTTTAGGGAATTTAATGTAATAAAAAATATATGTATATAAGTTAATTAAAATTGTACGTAATTACCCAAAATCAAAAAAAGAAAAAGCAAAAAAAAAATATAAGAAAATTTTAATAAAAATTCAACGAACAATTATTTTTTGTATTGTTTGTTTTGTAATTTTGATTGGAATTTAATTCAAGTAGCAACAAATTAAGAACTAAAATATAATATTGCAAAAATGATGATACGGAATACTAAAATCAAGGGAGTGTAAGAAGGAAGTCTGTGAAATGGATTTTAAATATTTTCCGGTGTTTTTTTTTTTCCAGAAAAATTGTGATCCTACTTGAAGTGTTTATGGCAAGACGAATTCACATACGGTAGTAGCAAGAATACAAAAACAAAATTCCAAGGCTGATTCAATGGTAGATTCGAAAAGTCAAAAGCGAAAATCGTTCAATGTACTTTGTTGGTGTGAACGTTCGAAATGTCAAATTTTTTTGGCGAATTTTAATTAGATTTTCGAACTTTTTTTCCAAAATCAGTTATCGGGTGCTATTCAACAATTATGACAGGAGTCATCAGCAAGACTAAAGTTGTCGGAAGAAGTAGGCCAAATAAAAATTTTGTGTCTTTGAATTTTGGCATTGAGCTGTCCTCCTCTATAAAGTATGTTATGCGAGCTTCACGATACCACAGAAGCGCTAACAAAAAAATTATATTCTTAAATACTTTCGTGGTGCAGACGTTTCTCGAGTGCTACAAAGGACTCCTTTCGTTGAATGCGCTGAAACGGTATCTCTCGGGGGTGGCTTCTTGATACATCAGACGTAAACTAAGGCTCTACTGCTGCGTAGAATCCGCGGAGATTTGATATACTTCAACTGGTTAACTTTTCGCTAATCCTAGGTGAGGGAGACTAGAGCTTTGCGCTATCAGAAGGAATCTATGGTATCACCAAACCAGTAATAGTGACTATCCAAAGACAGGCGAGGGTCTCGCTTTTAGTCCTTCGAAGTAGACTTTGATAATTATTAGGCTATTTAAGTGAGCATTCGATTTTATCGGTAATCTGAACTCTAGCTCTCGGCATTCTCATGTAAATATTCCATATTCAGATAAACTCTACTATTTGATCAGTATGAGATTTAAAATAAATGAACAATGAAACAAAAAAAAAAAAGAATTAACTTGTTCGGAAAAAAAATAACTAAAGTAAATAATAAAATCAAATAAATTGAAATAATAAAAATAAAAATAAAATGAAATCAAATAAAACCAAAAAAAAAAGCTAAAGTAAAATAAAATAAATTTTAATTAAAATAAATTGCGAAACCAAAACAAAATGAAGTCTCTATCCCGTTTGCAGCTATTGTACACATTTATAAGTATATCTACACCATTGAAAGGGTTAATAATAAATGTTTTATTTTTAAATATTTTCTCATCTTAGCTTTACAACTGCTTTAGGTTTACATTACATTGTATCATCTATATGTATATAATAAGTATAATTATATAATATAATATATATATTAAATACGCTATTGCTCTCAGGCTTACTGTTCAGCTGCTAAATATATATGTATATGTATATGTATATTCAACGTATGCACTTTATGCTTTAGCAACTATGTATGTATGTATGTATGTGTTCTATACAAGTAATTCTAGATGATGCCTTTCTTCATTTATATATTGCCGGTGTTTTAGCTACTCGTAAGCTTAAATAATTTATTTATTTTTTTTGGGTTTTTTCCTTTGCTTAAATATTTTTAATTCTTTTATGCGACTATTTTACTCTCTATTTTAGATGCGAATATAATGTGATTTTTCATCGATATATTTTTTGTTTGCTCTTTATTTTTATTTTTTTTTTAGTTTTTTTTTTTTTTTTTTTTTTATTTTTTTTTTAATAAATGCATATGCCCATTTAAATATGTTTGTTTGTTGTTAATCAGTTAAATACATGCTTAATTGTTTTTTGTTTTTTTGTTTTATATACATACGTACNTACATACATATTATATAATATGTAATTGATTATGCATATGCCCATTTAAATATGTTTGTTTGTTGTTAATCAGTTAAATACATGCTTAATTGTTTTTTGTTTTTTTGTTTTATATACATACGTACATAATTAGTTGTTTGCTTTTTATTTGCATTGAGAATTGTTTGGAAAATTGCTTGGTTGATCATTGTTGATTTGTTCATTTTGTTTGTGTTTTTGTTTTATACTCTTTTTGTAAATATGTTTTTTTTTTTAAATGTAGCGATTGCATAATCAATTACATATTATATAATATGTATGTAATTACAATATGTGTAATGTGTGGGTACGTAGTGAGTATATAGTATAAAGAGTAATTACAGTAAATAGTATTTATATTACATATGCGTACAGTTCAGTTATATATATTTACTTTTATATATACTTTGCTTTATATACTGCTTTGTAATTACATACTTAAAAAGTAATACATATGCACATTTATATTCTTTTTTCTACAGTTGGCTAAACGTCTTCCGCTGTTTTTGTTCTTGTTTTTGTTCCTTTTATTTAGTTTCTAAGCTAAATTTCTTACAAATTAATTTTTAGTTATATTTTACAAATGAATAGAGCAATTACATATATGTATTTATATACTTATCAACGTTCACGCATGCATAAATTTAAGCAGTTCCCTCCCATTTTTCTATTGCGAAAAAATTTTACCGATTTTCTTTCACCCCTTTTTCCTGCAAATTTCATTAATTCTTTTTATTACATTACTTTTCAAAGGTGACTGCTTTCAATTATCAAAACATTTCAACACCACATGCACAACTTTCTTCTACATACATACATACACATATCTACAGCCGCTTACTGGCCACACTACATATTTACCAATGCACACACACATTTGCTGGTTGCTGTTGCTTAAAAATTTGAATTTAACCAACTTAGAATTATGAATACAGTGACTGCTATAATTATTTGTATATAATCGATAATTTAATATTAGTAATTTAACTAGCCGTACGAATAAGTTAACAAAATTGTTGCCTAAATATTTGTTTTCTAGCATGATTTTTTTCGTTATTTTATGTAATATAAATAAATGTTCTCTTTGGTAAAACAATCTTTACTGTTTTGTTAAACTTTAGAATTTTTGTTTGCTTGTAAAATTTCGAATGTTTAAATTTAATTTCCAAAATTTGGAAAAAATCCATAATAATTGCATACAAATATATTAATTTTCTGGAAAACTGTTATTATGAGTTTTAGTTTTTTTATAAAACACTAGAATGCAAGTATTTTACATTAGTTTTGTATTTAAAAATTTAATCAAAAATTAATTCTAATATTTTTAGTACAATAATATTTTAGAAAATGTAAATTTAGTGAAGGAAATAAAGAAAATATATTTCAAAAGATTTATATAAAGTCCTCTTAATTACGAAAAACATCCGTAATATTTTCTGTAAGCAGAATTCTAGAAATTTTCAAACTAATTACTTTCAATAGAATGGAATAAAATATTGAAATCTATGAAGTCGAATGAAAAATATCTTTCAAGCAAGAGACAAATTTATATTAAAGAAAAGCTGGAGTTCACTTGCTGTCTCTATTTTTATGCAGAATGTGTTTGAATGTGAATATTCAAAATAATGAAAATATCTACTTGGGAGAGTAATGAGAAGCGAATGCGCGTTTGACTCAGAATTTTGTTGTTTCTCTACCTAGAACAGTGCAAATACACTAAAACGCCTAAAAGTATGCACTGCAAACACTAGTTCAATTTGAACATTACTTTTTCTAGTACATTGTAGTATATTGGAATTTTAAAATTTGGTATTACTTTAACGACGCACTTGTACTACTTGAGAACGGCAAAAGTGCCTGCTTTCCTTTAAGCACATTTTTTTTCTAATATTTTTTAAAAATTTGTTAAAAGCCCGAAATATTTACAAGAAAAAAGGAAAACACAGAGCAAAAATCTAGTTACTTTAATAGTAGTAGCAGTAATAGTAGTAGTAATTACAAGTAGTAGAGAGAAGTGTGGGTGGGTGGGGTTTGGGTAAAATCGAATTCTCTCTTAACGCCTGCTTGAGAGTGTGCAAAAATTATGCACAAAAACAAATAATTCTAGTATTTACATAGTATAGCGTAGGCGTTGGTGTCAAATGAAGCGTTTTTAAAATACAAACAAAAAGAGAAAAACAATTTTGTTTTGTACATTTGGCTATAAAAATGCCAAATTCTTCTTTTAGGCTCTTCTTCAAAAGCATAATTTTTTATCATTAATTTTTATTTGCAATTTTTTTGTCTGCCTCCAATAATTTGTTCCAAAACATATATGTATATTTACTAAATTCCGAATTTGCTCTAGCACTGCTGTCTAATGTCTAATTATCTTACGCTTTAGCAATATTTTGCGTTTTTAATTCTCTTGGTTCGTTTTCTTCTTCTTCTTCTTCCACTTCTTCTTACAAGCAAAATGTTTATAACTTTTCATATATATTTTTTGTTGTTGCAAATTTTGCTTCTTTTCTTCTTAGTTTTTGTGTTTTATTTTATTTTTTTTTTGCTTTTTTATGCTTCTCTTGTGTTTGCTTTTGCATTTGCTTGCTTAGCATATTTCGCTTTTTGTGCTGTGCAATCGCGCCCTGTCGGCTGTTTTTATTTTGCGTTTCTTAATCAATTTAACGTTATTTTTTATTTTGCTTTGTTTTACCTTGTTCTAATGCCAATCAACGTCTTTTTATGCATTTTTATTTGTGATTGCTGGGTCATTTTTCTTTCGCTTTTTCTGCCTTTTTTACTGCTGCTGATGTTTTGTTGCATGCGCTTTTGTTTTTGTATTTTGTTTTTTGTTTTCTTTTTTTTTTGAAAGATGTACGTACGATAATTCTTTTGCGTTATGTTGATTAATGTTTTTAGAGATAATTTTTTCTTAGTTAATGTTTATAACTCGTTTACCATGTGAGTGTGTGAGAGAGAGAGAGATTTTTTGCAATTTTGTAATATTTATAATACTTTTAAGCTGTTGCTTAGCTTTTTCTCAGCAGTTTTGAGTTTTTTGAGTTTTCTTTTTACTTAGCTTTAAGCGTATATTTTTTTGCTTTTTGCGAATTTTGCTTGTTTTCTTGTTGCATTTTTACAGTACTTTTTTTTGTTTGTTTGAGAGTGCAGTGCGTAGTTGTGCTAAAATTTGTGTGTGAGTTTCTACTAAAGGTATTTATGCTATGTCGCCTTCTTCAAACAGAGGTTTCTAATTGTAACGCCGCTGATTTTCTTCTACTCGCTTGCTTTTTGGGTACTAATAATTCCCTATATTTTCATGCTGCCTATCGTTCGCTCGTTTTATTATTTACTACTGTCATTTTTCTCTAATTTCATTTGCTTTCTATTTTTATTTACTAGTAATTATTATTTATAGTCTAATTCTGCTATTTTTTTCTTCGTTTTACTAATTTTTTTGTGGACAGGGGTGCGGGAGCTGGGCTTAAGGTGGTGCTTTCTGAGGGTTTTTAGTATTATTCGTAATTTTGTTTTATGTGCCTGTGGTGTAGGTGTAGGTGTTTGCTATTTAACGCTAAATTATCAATTTTTATTTTGAGGTTAGGTTGTGTATTTGGATGTTTCATGGTATAATCTATTTATTTTTCTACTGCATACATGTTATCGACATTATTTTTCATCTTCTTCTCTACTTTGTTCACGTGAGTTTCACTTAATTATTGGCTTTAGGTGGGCTTTTTTACATACATATTTATACATACGTGTACATATATATATTTGTGTTTTTGCTTGCGTTTTTGTATATTTTCTTGAGGATTTTTGCTTCATTTCACCTTTTTACCTGTATTCATTTATCGTTTAACCTTTTTCATTCATTTCCTACTCTCATTCCTCTTCCTCTTCTTCTCCTGCTACATATAGACACACAAAAATAAATGGCGCAAAGCTTTACTTCTTTCTCTCCGTGCGTAAGAAAATACAAAGCCTATACATATTCACACATGTAAAGCTGGTGCTTTTGCGCACACTGACTGCATACATACACACTATTTTACAATAATTAAATATTTCATAATTTCTTTGCTTTTGCGCGCAGTATTTCTATGTGTGCATATGTGTCTCTAGTGTGTGTGTAGAGTAGTGGAGTGTGGTGTTGTGTACGGTTATATATGCATGTGTGGGTGTGTGTCCTTATATAGGCATCCTTAATAGGCATCTGAAACAAAAAAGATAGAATTGAATGCATGAAGGCCTAGCACAGTAACTGCCTTGCGCCCGAAAGTATGCTACACTGAGCGTAACAAATTTCTGCTGCAGTCGTCAGGGCTGAGGGGTGCTCACAGCAATCTTACACTTATATTTTATTTTATTACAGTCAATTGTTTTTAGAACAGTTAATTAGATTGTCGTTAAATTGCATTTTAAACGACGTCAATTAAATGAATTTGTTTTTGCAAATATTATTAAAAACCATTTCGAAATAGTGCTGAGCCGTGAACACAATTACTGTGATAGTCTTTCGTTGAAAAATTAAAAGAATTTTTTTTTGAATTTGTATAAGCACATATAACAGTAAAAAAACAGTTTTACCTCTAGAAAATACAGAATTTTTTTACTTTCACATAAATATATATGCAAGTGTGTCTGTGAGTGCATGTGTGTGACACATAAAATTACAATTAACATATATTGTACATATGTGTACGTATAAGCTACAGTTAAAACTAAGATATACATATGTAGAGAGACATACATATACTAACATACAATTATACAATTTAGTTTAATAGTAAATATATAATTAATAGATAGAGAGAGCGTACATATAAATACATACGAGTATAGTAGATATATTATAGTTATATAAATAGAAATAGTAAGTTCTAATATTGCATACACAGCGTATATGCGTGTGTGTGTGTTTGTGTTTTCTACAAAGATAACTCGTCTATAAAGGTCCGTAACTCATAAACAGCAATTAAAATTGGCTTATAGTTTCATTTCACAAACTTTAAAGCAACTCAAATATCGTTTGGTTTTCCAAAAGAGACGAAATATTTTTCATTTTATATATTTTTTTTCTATGTATGAATGGTATTTCTTTGGGATTTCTAGGGTGTATTGGTTTACAGTGTTTTTGTTTTTTGTGTTGCTTTTTTGTTGATTTTGGACTTTTTTTTTTTTGCTTTTTTGTAATTTTTGTATTTTTTTTTGGTTTTTTCTTTATTTTTTTTTTGTGTATTGGTTCGGGGTCGCCTCATTTTTTTCATTTCGTTTGGTTTCTTAAGGTGTTTTCGTTTGGTTTGGTTTATTCGTTGGTTTGTGTGTTGTTTTTTTTTCTAGTTTTCTTCTTAGTTTTTCGGAGATACTCATTCGTGTAAAAGTGTAGATTGTTTATTAAATTGTTGTGTTTGTTTGTGGCAGTGTTTTATTGATACGAATAAATTTTCAAAAGTGTTGATATTGAATTGAAAAAAGCAAGGCAAGCTATAGACAGCACTTGGGTATTTCGAAGCTTCAGATTTATTTTTAAATACAACTGCACAAAACGTCGAAAAATGAAGAGTTTGGCTTAGGAAACAGTCTCCGAAAGTATTTAACGCATATAAAGCTTTCTTATAGGCGGAACTAAGATTGGGATACCGCCCATTAGCTCATTTTGGATCAAAAACTGTCCCGTGCAACAATAAAATGACTGAGATTGTTTGTAAAAGCCTTTACAATTACAGATACGGACTTTTTTATGACATAAAAATAAAAATGCTTTTGAAAAAGAAAAAGGTTCATAGATAGTGTATGATAATCTATTAGAACAGAATAGATGCCTAGTTAACGGTAGCTCTTCAGTTAACGGTAGCATGAAGTGCATATACCGGAAATATAAATTACCTTGCTTTGCCTAATAAAACTACTTTGAGACATTAAAAACTTAATCAATTTCTTGTTGCAAGTCTCGAGCAGCGAACTTTTCAACCAAGCTCGTTTTACTTTTTTTTATAAAATATTTTTGTAAATTTTCCCCAAGTGCAGTGTAAGTGACTTCAAGCATTTTGAAACGGATGAGATAAAAACACTACAAACAACTACGTATGTGTATCCCGAAAAGTACATAAAAATAAAGCAATTAAGCTTTAAGCATGAAAAAGCTTTTCAATGAGTATTTTCACGTTTCTTTGAGTATCTCGCGAGTGTGGTTCGTGTGTTAGTGTAGGTGTCGTAAAAATTGCAAACAAATACAATTTAGCGAGTTAGTGTGATTGCAAAAGCTAAAAATTAAACCGTTAGAGCACACAAAACATTATACATTTTTTTTTTTTAATTTTTATATATTTTTTTCTATGCGATAGAGAGAGAGAGAGACAGAGAGACAGGGGGGAGAGATAAGAATTAAGCGATTCTATGAAGAATGTTTAAGGAGGATAAGAATACTAAGTGAGTAGCCTAGGGCAAGGGGACTGAAGGAGGAACTCTGTAGTGAAACGAGCAACGGCGCTATGTAGTGAGCTTTAGAGAGTTGGCTTATGGTTGAGGAGTTTCTGTAGGAGTTTGGTTATAGTGTTGCACAGTTTGCACAATTCAAATTGGGTTTTGAAGATTTTCAATAGCTTTAAGCATGCTTTTTTGCTACCAATTTTGTTGTTGTTGTTGTTGATGTTGTAGTGGTCTACAATTAACCTTCCATCGTATTTTGTTGGTGCTATTGCGGTTTGGTCGCTTGTTGTTCTTACTGCGTTAATTTATTTAATTCAAGCATTCATTTTGTTGTTGTTGTTGTTGTTGTTAAATTTCGTTAGCAAAAATTTCTCAAATTATCTTTTTTTAGGATTTCATGTATCCTTTTCTTTTTTTTTTACTGGTAAACGGAATTATAATTTGTTTTATTGTAATGTGTTTGTTGTTGTGTTGTGTGCGCTGATGACGGTGGGTGTTCTCGTTCAGAGTCGCGTTCTCGCTCATATGCATGCTCTCGCGGCGCATAATCACGTTCACGTTCCCTCTCATATTTGTGAGCGTACTCACGATCGCGTTGATAGTCCTGCGCACGTTCGTGCGCATACTCACGTTCGCGTTCGCGTTCGTGGCCCATATCACGACGGCCACGTTCATTATCACGCTCACGCAGGTCCTCACGTGCACGCTGGTGCTCGTAGTCGCGCTCCTTCGCCCGATCTCGTTCGCGCTGAGAGTCCTTACGTTCGAGATCGCGTCTCTGTTCGTGTTGATGTTGTTGCTGTTGTTGTTGGTGGTGGTGGTGTTGGTGTTGATGATATTCTTGTGATTTATGTTGACTTGTGGACGATGGGTGACGTTGTAGGGATGATTGCTGGTGTTGTTGTTGCTGCTGCTGTTGGTAGTGCTTTTGTTGTTGGTGCGCACTGCCGCTACGCGTGGGCGTGTGCTCTCTCGACGTCGGCGCTGACGCCGTTGTCGGCGTTGTTGTTGTTGTTGGCCGCGGTGCACCTCCAGCTCTCGCACGTTCGGCTGGTGTCAGTCTTTGTTGTTGTGGTTGTGTTTGTTGGTGTTGTTGTTGCTGTTGCTGCACCTGTTGTGTACTTTTCGTTGGCGTCGTTGTCGGTGTTGTACGCTGGTGCTGTTGTTGCTGTGTTGGACTCTTGGTGTATTTCGCGCTCGTCGCATGTGTTGTCTGCTGCGCTGTTTGTTGTGTGTGTGTGCGTGTTGCTGTTGTTGGTGTTGTAGCTGTTGCAGCTGCACCGTGCTGTTGTTGTTGCTGCTGATGGTGCTGTTGATGAGGTGGCGTCGCAGACGCGTGTGTTGATGCTGAATGATGCTGATGCTGATGCTGATGTTGGTGTTGGTGTTGGTGTTGATGTTGTTGTGTGGCTGATGCGGGTGCGGATGCTGATGGATTGCTGATGGATTTAATGTTGAGTGGCAGTGGCGGTGGATTTTTAGCTTTTGTTAATGGTATTGGTGTAGTTGGCATTGTTTTTGGCGTTGTCGTTAAATCGATACCCCATTCGAATAGGAACTCCATCTTCTGTCGTTCCAATGGGTCCTCATTAGCCGGCAGGGCAAGCAAATGTTAGGCTTCTAAAAATATAAGCGCCGTTGGTTTCGGTTCAAGATTTGATTTTTTCGCCTCGACAACTAAAAAGGTTATGTCAGCCTTTTCGCGATTCGAAAAACACTCGGCTATCAGGCGGGCAACCTCCTGTCAGAGAAAGAGTGAGAAAAGTATGTGTGTGTGTGTGTGTGTGTGAGAGAGAGAGAGAGAGTGATTAGAAAAGCTCACATCCGAAAGTAGGCCAGCACTAACCTGATGATGGAGACCCTCGACTTTGGTACCGTCCACCTCGAGTATCAGTTGCCCGACCTCTAAGCCGCCCGCTTCGTAGGCTGCGCCGTTTTCCTGTTATATTTTCAAGGAATATTTAAATAGTACAATTTGCGAAAGTAAAGTAATAAGGACTCACATGGATATTTATTATCCTTGGAAGCGGATGTTTCGTGTTAGCACCGCCTTCGATGGCAATACCTAAAATAGGTTTAGTTTTCTTAACAGTAATGTGTAAGTTGCCTCTGTGATCAGGTACGACGTTTGGATTGTGTTCATGTGTTTGTTCAGTCGTTGAACCGTTTTGCTCGGCCGATAAGCGTTGCATGGACTGAAAAACGGAGAGAAATAGAGGAAAGGATCAACATAAATAAATTGTGGGCTAAAAGGTCAAGTTTGGTTTTTGGTAAATTTAATTTGTTTTTATTTACAATTCGTTTGGCGTCAATATACCGTGAGTTGGTTGGGTTAAACAACGAAGAAAAAGGTTTTGAATTTACGAAAATGATTGAAACACTTAAACCAGTGCGGCAAACATCGGACAATGCAAGGTTTTTCTACTCATATGCACTCCACGCTAAAACCTAAGCTTCCTTTACAGATTTACATGGTTTTGATAAACTTAAAGTTAGGTTAGGTTAGGTTGGGAGACAGCGTTTTCTGGACTTGAGAAATGTCATCTACCTTTTCTTGAAAAAACTTAAAAATGTTTTTAACTTTCTCAGTTTGATAACTGATTGCACACCCAGATCTATTCACAAAGATCTTCAAGATTTCAGCATAGATTGTCATACGCGTCCCATTTTACACACGGCACTACGCCAATTGCGTTGACCATCAAGTTTTACGGTGAAGACTCAATGTGGAGGAGTAAGAGAAGAAAGCGTCAGCGACTCTAAAATCTTGTGAGAGGAAGGTGGGTTGTACTTAGTGTCAGCCAGATAAGCCAGCACTTTTCTATTGTGCTCTTCGGCGGTGGAAGGCTACAAAAAAAGAACTGTTTTAGAAAGACTGGAGAGGGGTTTTAGATTTTTAATCGTCAGGACTGAAAACAGATGGTGCTTTGGATAAGCCACTGTGGAGCCCCTTAGCTAAAATAAGTAATTTGTAAGTGACTCGAGGCTACACGCTTCAAATCAGCTGTGAATTGGGACTTACTAGCAGACAGTATGACCTTATGGCTATGGTTAGCTGTTATTGGCAGCTACAAAGAAGTAGACAGTTAGAGCAGAAGACTGGCACTTTTTCTGTTGACTGTGCATAACCAGTGATAGGAAGGCAATTCACACTGCCGAACTATTGCAGTATCTTCCAACTCGAGCTAACTTCTACAAAAATGGCGGTAGAGCTACTACACGGACCAGATCCTTTTAGAAGGTGAAGGCGTGTTTATGTAGATAGCAGTCAATAAGACATTATCTTATATAGCAGGTAGCCAGCAGTGGCAACACTGTGTACCGAAGAGAACAAAAAACTGGTTGAGAAAGAAAAAAATCAAACGTTGCAAAACGCAAAGAGAGAATATAAAAAGTGCCTCTCCGCTGGTCAGAGCTGCACGCTACACACATGATAATGCGAGATGGAGGGAGAGCGGTGGTGGAAACAGTAAATAACTGAGCTGAGAAGTATAGAGCTCCAAAGAGCAATTCCTTCCTATGCTATTTAACCCCGGAGAAACTTGAATTTATATGAAAAAAGATAATTTTTAAAATTATTGAGTAACATTTTTAATTAATGTATCAAAAATTCAAACTCATATTTATATTTAGATTGTAGAGTGTAACAGTGTACTGTTTTTCAATGTACATAACAAAGTGAGAATAAGCATATAGACAAAATAATAGAACTAGTTAGTAAAATCGGGAGCAAATTCGTTAACTAATTTACAAATTTAGGTGAGAATTCGCTAGTTAAGTTAATTATATAGTAGCAGGCAGCAAAACTAGTGAACAAGGAGCATATATTCAAAAGTATGTATTAATTTTTAATAAAGGGTATACATTTCCCGTTTTCAGCTTACAATGCCAACAAAATTTTGAACCTTAAAAAATAAATGAAAGTAAAATCAACTATGCAGTGGGATAAATTAATTATTAATTAGTTTTTTTTATTGAAAAATTTATTCAAATGCAAATTGTAGTGTGTTTAGTGTGATGAAGCACGTGAGAGCGAGAGCGCACGAGTGAATGGCGACTGCGAATGAGTTTTGGCTGAAGATGAGCAATGTTAAAACTATTCAGAATTTTATGAAAAACAGTGAAATATTTGTATGATATGCGTGATGAGCGTTTTGTAATGTATGCTGCATACGTGTATGCTAAGAATTTATATATAATAAACATTTTTTTAATTTCAAATTAGTTTTGCTCTTATTTTCAAAGCGTTTTTTTTACTACACTTTTTCCTCCCAAAATGGGTGTGAAGCTTTGCGCTAACTTTACTCATTTTTATATTAATGTCATAATTAAATATTTTGTATGCTTTAAATGAAATATATAATTAAATGAGAGAATCGCTTGGATTTTATTTTCATACCAAAGCACTTTTTGGCTTTTTCCAGCACTCACCTGATGCCTGCGTACACCCTTATCGCCCAGCAGTGTGCCTCCTTCCTCCTTCATATCGAAACTTCTCGATAGTTTTGTGGCCAACTCCTATTTATTTTCAAAGTTTTTTTGTTTCAATTTAAAATTTCGAATAGCGAATTATGTTTGAGTTGTGTGCGGAGTTTTCCAAAGCCAATTCAAAATTTTGAAATGCAGTTTTTAAGTAACAGAATGTGAAATGTTTTTTTTTGCAAAATATTTTGCAATTTTTTCGAATAAATTGCAGTGTGGACAAAATATTTGAAGATAAAAAAAGTAGTAAGAAAATTTGCGTAAGTTTTTGTGTATTGAACAATTTAATTTTTGATTTACTTATAGTAATTAAGCTATTACTTGAGTAAAAAAGTTGTCAATTTGTATGATTTTTTCAACTAATAATTGTTTCTGAACTTTTTGAATCATATTTTTTGTGTATATTTTGCGGCTGAAAATTTGTTTTCATATATTTACTATGTATGTATGTATGTATAAAAGATATGTATGAAGTCTTCGAAAATGTTGTACGATATGCAAACGCGGTGGATACATATTTACGTGGAGGATATGGAAGAGAATATGCGTATATTATTCAGAACGATAATTTTTTTTATTTTTTTTCAGAGTAAAGTTATGGAAATGAAAATTTCTTGGAGGTTTTCCAAATGCGAAACTAAATAAAAATATTTGACAGCAGACAAACTAAAAGAATTTTAGTTTTTCAATTAAAAACACATATCTATGTATAAAAAAAATTTATGATTTATTAATAAAAATAAAAATTTTGACAAATAAATCATTATCATGAATTAAAAAAGTTAGAGATTGAATACAGAGCATAGAAACATACAGAAAATAATTTTTATTTAAAGCAAAAATATTTTAAAAATCAAAACGATTTAAAAATAATTTATATTATATATTGAGGAATGAGTTCGCATCAAGACTAATTTAATTATTAATTAAAGAAATTAAATCGAGTGAATTATGGAAGTCAAAATGAAAATAGCTAAGCCCACAAAGGATATACTGAAAACTTATAAAAATGCAAAATAGCTTAAAAAAATTTTTTTCAGAAACGACTGTCCTTCAAGAGTAATATTTAGACCATGATATTTAAAAGTAAACAAATAATAATATAAATAATAATAAAAAATTTAAAAGGAACGAAAATTTAAGAAAAAACAATTTGTTAGGAAAGGGTTTTTTCATTTATTTATTTTTTTTTTATAAAAAATTTCTGCAAAATAAACTGAAGATCAATACTTAAAACTAGATCTGAAGCTGATAAAAAAAAAACAAATTTGAAAAAAAAAATATTTTTTTATATAATAATCAGTAATTATTAACTCGAGCTTAGAAGCAAAGCAAAAAGTTGAAGCAAGCAAAAGATTTTGATAAATTAAATACAAAATTATAATTATAAAACAAAAAAGAGAAAAATGTTAAAATTAAAAAAATCATTCTTCAATATCAGCGCAAAAAGTATTTTGGAAAACTAAAATTCGATTTTAAATACTTCTTATTATTGGAAAGATATATTCCTCCCTTAAAGCTTCCTCCTTTACTGAGGTTTAGAGTTGTTGGTAATGACTTTTTTGTTTTATAATTAAAAAATGTTCACATAATGCATTTGTTATGACGTGGTTATTATGTAGTTATGTATGTGTATGCACGTAATTATGTACCGTGCTAAATGCATATATTCTTTTCCATATTTATTTATTTACTTTTTTTTTGTGATACTAAAACACACATTTACTAAACTAAAAGCACTAACAAAACTGTCAGCTACAACTACAACTACTGCTAATAAATTATGTAATTGTAACTCAAACTATTTATGTACGAGTATATATATGTATATTTAAAGTTTGCAAATATGTATATTATGTATTACGAGTAGATGCTAAGTAGGAGGGCGCGTCTAACGAAAAGGACACACAACCACAGGTGATTAATTTTTGTTAATAATCAATATGGAGCAACTAAATCTATTCTAAATAGCTATACATATACAGTTAACCAATAACAACGTTAACTGAAAGAGTTTTAAAAAATTCTTAAATTATAATAAATTAATAAATTAATAAAAATGAAAATAAAAATATGTACGAGTATAAAAATGCGGTGATGCAATAGTGATTTACTTTTAATATATGAAAATTTGAATCAAAAGGAGTTGTTTTGTTTCTTTTTTTATATTTGCGTGTACCAGTATTAGTTTCTGATTAAGACTCAAATCGCTTGCTTTTAATTTTGAAACGAACGGCACTTTGGTGGTTAGCAACAGTGCAGCCGGTTGTTATAGAAAATTTTATTATAATTTAGCTCTCTAACCCCCCTTTATTGCAGTTAAAATTGGTCACATCAAATTATTTCATTTCATGCCATATGGCGTTGATCAAATTAATCAAGATGTTATTTTAGCAAAGGATTTTTTTGTTGTTTTGGACCAAGCAACGTTACTTTAACACCTTTTCTGTCTAAAATATAAAACGAAAAAAAATTTCAGATAAAAAAAATATGTTTATCCATATTTTATGTTTAGAAATATATTTTTTTCGGAATATTTGAAAAACTTTACGCATTATTTTTATGCCAAATAAGATTTCTTTTCAACAAAATTTTATGTCTGGACTTGTTTTATAAGGACTTTAAAGGTTGTTTGCCATTTTAAGCCAAGCAGCATTTTACCTTTAACCGCATTTTATAATAGGAACATACAGAAAAATATTCATCAAATTTTATGCCAAATAGTACTTCATGCCTTACCACATTTTAGGCATAGACAGATGTTATGAAATTTTTGAATGTCCAGATACATCAACTGGAACATTAAGAAAAAGTCGCCATATTTTAAGCCAAATAACTATTTATGTTTAACCAATTTGTATCTCTAAACATCTTTTAACGCTGTTATTATTTTAAAATTTCATTATTTAACAGTAACTAATTGTGGTCCGGAACTGGTCTTCACTCTGCTTGGTCAGAGTGGTTAACGTTTTTTTTTCAGATTTGGGTGACTCATGCTGATCTGTGCAATTATATTTTTCAAGCTGTTTAGTGTTCCGCTTAAGGGTTTTTTTTACTAAGTTACAACAAGACTACGTGACTGCATTTAAATTTACAACAATTGCGTACAAACTTTATTTCATTTTTTGATTAATTTGCATACAAATACAATTTTTGTTCAATACTTACATTCGTCTTTGAGTGAAATTCGTATAAAAAAAATTGTAGAATTTCCTCTTTTTATAAAATGGGATATGGAATGGTGTGGAATAGAATGGAGTAGATTGGAATACCACAAAACAAAAAAAAAAAAACAAAAAAAGAAAAAAAAAACGATTTGAATAAAACTATTTGTTGAAAAAGGAAAATATTAAACACAAAGAAAATGGTAAATACAGCCAGCTACAGCTGTTGATTGGTGTGTGAATAAAAGCGGCTGGTGTGCATGTGTGAGTGTGTGCAAATGAGCTGTTTGTTGGCATGCGAATATCGTTGTTTACTTTTTTCGTTTTGTAGGTGTGTGTAAAGGTGTGTTTTTCTTCGCTTAAATCGCAAGCACAGAGCACAAAGTACAGAATCACATTCATCAAAACAAAAGACTTAAGAAACAAACTTGCATTGGTGGATGTGTTGTATGGTATGATATGGTATGGTGATATGGTATGCCATGAGTGAGGACATTGAGGATGGTTGGTGGTTACTGTTTTAGGCGGAACTCAGTTAACGAAACTCAATTACAAATAAGCTTTGGAAACGATTTTTACTTGCTGCTCAATAACAAACAGTGCAAATTAGAGTATTTTTTATTTAAAAAAATTTATTGCTGGAAAAATGCAGTGCAACACTCGAAATGCAACAATAAAATGAAATTCAACGCTTTTCAATGCATTTATATTAAGTTGTGGTTAGGTTTTCATTGCATAACATTCGGGTTAGTTTGGTTAGTTAAATAAATATTCGTGATTAATTGCAGGCGGATAACTGAGAATTTGTACGGTTTTTAATCTGCAGTTTAATTTAGTTAATTTTTCAATTGAATTTTAGTATTTTTTGTTTGTTGTTCTTGTTCTGGTGGTTGTTGTTACTGGTTGCAAAAGGTAGTAGTAGTAGTAGTGGTGGAATGAAAAATGAAAAATACAATTGCACTTACAAGAGGCCGTCCCCAATACCATGATTTGACACGTTGTGTTAAACCACCCAAATGTGAACGAAGTCCATCTAAGTAGCCACCCTGAAAATGCACAATGAATAAACGAGAAAAAACAAAAGCAAGAAAAAGAAACACACATATTGTTTGGTTGATTGATTGATTGATATTTGATTTAAATCTTTTTTTTTATTTTGTGTACAAGAATGTGCAAATGTTTAGATTTCGACAAGTTTTGAAAGAATTGTTCTCAAAATTTTGATATCGAATTTTTATTTTAATAATGTGAAATATTTTGAACTATAAAATTTTTAAATAAATATAACAATTTCGATAAATTTTATTTAAATTCCATTGTTTATTTAAAATTTTTTTTCTTTTGCAATTAAGATTTGCTTCCCAAAGAGTAACTTGTTTTGCACAAAAAATTAGAATTAAAATTTTTTTGAAACTATATTTGGGAATTTAAAAATATACATGTTATTTATGCAAAACTGTAGATGTTAAATATTAATGAAATTTTAATTTTAATTTTAATTACTTCAAATTCATTTCACATTTCTTAGTTTTTTGAAAAAAAAAGTAATTTTAAGTTCGATAATTTTTCGAAATCCCATTATTGTTTAATTTTGGAAATAGGTTTTGAATCCTTATGAATGAGATATTTAATTTAAGTTTCTTAAATGCGTAATTCATACATTTTTTTTAAATTATTTCTGAAGCGATTTTTTACTTTTTAAATATTTTTTCAATATATCTTTATTGCTGAATTTTGATTTATCAGATTTAAATGGTTTTTTAAGATATTTTTATTTGAAAAATTTATGCTCTTTGAAATTCCAATTTTCGAACAAATTTGAAAGAGGGCGAAAATTAAAAGAGTCAAGTAATGAGAGAGTACAGAAAGTAAATTCATACAAAATAAACAAAAAAACGCAAAAGAACGAAGAGAGAGTTTTTAACAAAATCTTTCTTTAAATGACTTTACATTTCCAAACTAATAAGTTTTTGACGTCTTTTAACACGAAATTTCCTATTAATAACAAAAATACTACCAAAAGTACAGACCAAACAGGGTGGTTGGACAAAGCAGGTAAAGAGGCGAGTAATAGTATAGCCAAGTACGAATATAAGATTCTACCAGAGGTTTTGAGACACAATTTTATTTATTATTTTTATATTTAAATATTTTGATAATCATTTATATATATTTAAATGTATGTACGTAGGTAGCAAAGTGACAGTTATAGTTATAGCTTATAGTTCATATTTATAGACACTGAAACTACTTGGAAAGTTTGTGTTTGAGTTTTTATGATGTAGACTTACAGTGGGCAAGAATAGATTCGGAACAAATAACCATAAATAAATATTCGTTACTACCTAAATTTCTTAATAACAGCCTATAGCTAATTAGGTATGTATAAAAACACTAGCCTTAATGTATTTTACTTCATTTTACAATAACAACTACATGTTGGGGAAGTAATAATAAATGTTGATTTTCAAAAAAAAAAATATGTGAAGAGAATAATATATAATGATGTACTTGTGAGTATGCGCTAAGTGTAGTAATTATGTACATATTTTCAAACTAGCACATTTAACTGTAGAAAATTCACTAATTATTTACTAAATTCTCTTAGAAATAATATATTTTATATTTAAATGTTTTGCTACACTGTTTTTAACTAAAAATAACAGTATTATGCTCCACTACTTTGTAAATTAAAAAGTCACCGATTTACTTATAACTTACACACTGTGCCTACTAACCTAATTACCGAATAAAGTAGCGTCATAAACTAATTCTCACTCTATTTACTCGTTGCCTCTATTGCGCTCCGATACTACTCCTTAGTTGTAACGCATCAACGATTTAGCTTTGACTACTATGATTTTTCAGCTTACACGTATCTGCTTTGTGTTCTTTATTTGGTGAATGGCTTAAGTGTTTTTGTGCTCTGTTTTCTTAAATAACCCTTTTTTGGCCTATGAAACTCCTATTTTTTCAAAAAGTTCATAAATTTCCCCCTTTTTGCATACACACCCATATATATATATATATATATATAATTGTGTTTTATTTTTGCTTTGTGTCTGTTTGTTTCATCACTTTTTTAAATACGTTTTTGAGTTAAGATAGTCATAGAAGTTAGAGCGCAGAAACCTGGGATTTGTTTTAGCGAGAGTATGGGAAAACTCACCTGCTCCTGTTATGGCGCACAACGAGTATATCACGCAGCGAGTTGACCGCATAACGAGTTCAGCGCACATTGAAACGAGTTGGTAGATTAGGGAAGGAAAAAAACAGATAAATATATTAAAAATATAGTTTTTCCTTAAATGAATTTTTAAAATATATTTTTGATAAAAATAAATATAAAAATATGTAATTAAAGAAAAAATATAAAATATACTTATTTGTATATCAAAACTTAAATTTTTTCCTTTCTTTCTACATGAAAATACACTCATTTCATAACAGTTAATTATAAATTTTTAACTTTCATGCAACCAAATCTACGTGTTAATTGTTTTTATTGCAAATAAGAATTATTTCTCAAATATAATATCAGAAAAACGACATTCTGTGCTGCATCACCCACATAAATCTATGCCTGAAAGTATACTTCGTAAAACAACAATGATTATTATTAAAATATCAATAACGGAGCACACTCGCGTCCCCCAGAAGCGCTCCGAACTTGAACTCTCCACAAAAAATGGGGCGCCGTGCCAACGTCCGTGAATTTTTTGAAACCTTCACACCACGTGTGCCTGCACTCTTGGCAACTAGGAAACGGCGCGCCAACATTGCCAAATTTTATTAACATGCGAGACATTATTCATATGCTGGCGAGCCGCTGAGTCGCTGAGTGTTACGGTTGCAATGGCAAATAAATGAAGAAGCATTGATCAAAACAAAAAGTGGATGAAGATGAAGATGAAGATGAAGATCAGAAGAAGAAAGAGTAAATAGCAAAGAAAAAAGAAAGCTTACAAGTCGGGTGTGCTTGCCTATCAGCGAGACAGACAGCCAGACGGGCAATGAAAAGACTACGAGAGTAAACAGAAAGCAGTCAAACTGGCAGCCAAGAACCAAACAACTTTGCCGGCAGGCAGACAGTCACTCGGTTGGGCACTCATGCAGCCAGTCAGGCGGACTTTCATGTCAGCTTGGCAGTCCGTTACTTAGGCAGAACTTATGAACTCACTGGGCTTGTGCGTATGTGCGGCTGTGTGAATGAACATTTGTTGGGAACTGTGCAACGGCAGCGCGACGCAATTTCGAAATTCAAGTTTCAACGGAAAAGAATCAAGTAAATCGAAGTGCCGTCGGCGACAAGGTAAAAGAAGGATATGTACTAGAGGTAGGTGTTATTTTTGTTGTTGTAGCCATACACGCGGAAATTCGTGCGAGTATTTTTACTAATATCATATGCACTCATACATATATGACTAGGGATGCGGCGAAAGCAAATGCACTAAGACCGGATCAGGAATGATATTTATGGATTGGGAAAAGAGATCTCGTTGTTTGTGTTTTCGGCTGAGAGTTCACTTAAAAGAAACCAAGTTTTAAGTATAGATGTAATGGAAGAGGAGCTGGAAATTTGAAGTCATCGAAACTACGGGACTACAGTAGAGCTTTTTCGAAGTAGAACTCAGTAATAGAATCGGAAGTTATGACTTTCTAAGATCCTAAAAGTGCCTATACCAGTATTAGTCGTTCGGTCTACTGATTAGTAGGAATGTTAGGTAAGCCATGACATATGAATTTGGATTTTCTGTTGGAACTTACAGTCGGATCTATCAGATTATGAACGAAAATAACCGTCGAAATCGAAGAAATTAATTTTTTTTAACAAAGCGAAAGGTTCAAAAGGTTCGATGGACGTTTGGATTGTACAGCAGTGAAGTGATTTTCTTAGTTAACTCAAAGAGAGTGGTTAACCCGAATCACTATGGAGCCAACAAATGAATCGAAGTTATTAAATTTACTTCATGAATGCAGAGTAGTCCCATATTTTTATACAAATCAGATGTTGAGCTGCGGTTCAAGTACGTGGCCTTAACGAAGATTTAAAATGAGTTTGTGGCAGATTGCAAAAGTTACATCCTTGGCAGTTCGATTATCGCAGATGATTCGTCACATCACAAGCAAAAGCACGCACAGTCTTGTGACCGCTGCAAAAATTGGCAGCATGGCTGCTCTTGGCTAAATCTCGTCCGCCATCGTTCCGGCTGTTCTTTTGCAAATATGTGCCAGTGTGTTTTTTTATATGAAAATATTTACATATATATTTATATATGTGCTCTGCTGAAAAATGGACTAGTTAAAAACTACTGAAATTTGTATCCCAAGCAAGCCCAACCGGGGGTTCACTTAAAACAAAGAAATCTTACGACATGAAAACTCTCAGTTTTCTGCCAGAAAAATACCAGTTTCATACTAGTTAATATTGGACACAAATATGACTAGTTTACTTTGGAACCAACAAGAGAATAATCATCTAAGCAGGCGCACAAATTAAGTTCGCCACAGCCTTTTTGGAGTATTATTAAACTTAACACAAAATGTTTATAATTGAATTGAAACAAAAATAAGGCACGAAACGACTGATTCCTAATGTGGCACTTTTTAGACTAGTACGATTTCTGACCACTTTGATTTTTCACCACAGACTGTGAGCGTCAAACGATGCGTTTGTAGAGTCGCTTATGCTTTACGAGCGGCAGTTATGTTGCAGCTGTTGCTACTCGCATTTTACTGCTCTTAGCAAAAAAAAAATCATTGCATCTTGCCGACCGACAAGTCCATATTGCGACAGTCATTACCACTACGTACATACACACACACACACATACACGCAGACGCGAATGTGCTTAAAGTCTGTAGACCGGACAGGCGTTTGGGCGCAGCGTCTGAGCAGTGGGTTTTTTTTTCCCACAGCTAGCTATTATAGCAACAAAATAAGCAACAGCAACAATAATAACATCTGCCGCCAACATTTTCCCAGGCTCATCAGTTTGGTGCATTCTTTATTGCGATTCGTTACGGATGCTGTGCGGCTATGCTTTGTCTTTAGGCCGAATGCAGAGAACAAAACACTTCTTTTGTTGTTATGATGATGAAATTTTTCCTCTTTTTTGCATTTTGTCCGTTTTGTTCATTTTTTCTTTTATTTTTGGGCTCTGCTTTTTCGTTTATCCTGCGAGGTGTGCTTTTAAAAATTTCGCTTATTGCAAAATGCGTCTGTTCTGTAATATTAAAGGTGCATTCATATCTCTGGTTGGTGTTACTGCAGTTGTGGTGCCTGCGCCACCAAAAGCCGTGTTTGGTTGTATGATTGGTGCACATCCGGTTGTTTCCCAGCGCAGCTGGATTAACGACTATGGCTATGATTATTTATGTAACCAGTTGTTATGCAGTAGAATTATATTACATACATAGGTTGCTCTTTTTTCTGGTGTTGTTGTTGCCAACCAAATGTTGGCTTAGCTCTAATTCTTGATTTTAGTTTTTTTATATTTAAGAAATAATAAAAATAAAATTAAAAGAATTTGTTCTTATAGAATATGGAAGACTTGGGCCTGGAAAAGTAAGTCTGGCGATAAGAATTATTAAAGCAAAAACAGATATTTTCAGTGGGCAAGCTTGCAGTGTTATGTAAGAAGCATGTACCGTTTCTGTGATGGCACAACATTATTTTAATTTATTTTGTTTTATTTAAATATATTGCTCGATTAACTCTTTTTTATTTCGTTTAATTCCATATTACTTTTATTTAATTCAATTTACCTTATCCCCTTTATTATTTTCTTATTTTTATTATACGAAATAATTATATAATATTTATGTTTGGCCTTATGTTAATTGCATTTATTTTACTCGTTTTGTATAATTGTATTTATTTGTTATTTAATTTAATTTTAATTTAATTTTAATTTAATTTTCTTTAATTTAGTTTAGAAATTTTTTTTTTTTGGTTTTTCTTTCTTATTTAATTTTTTTTAAATTAATTCATTTTGCTTTAATTTATTTTGTTTTCATTTGGAGTTATTTTTTGTATATTTATTTTCAATTTTCGTTTTACTTTATCAATTGATTTTTTCAACTCAATTTAACTCATTTTATTGTCAATTTATTTTACTTATTTTTAGTGTTTTTACTCTAACTATTAAATCTATTTTATTTCGTTTATTTATCTTACTATAGCATAATCGAATATATTTTTCATATTTTACGTTATTAGTTTAAATTAATTTAATATGAATATCTTAAGTTTATATAATTTAATATTGTTTTTTACTATTTTGTTTTTATTTAATTTTTTTGGTTTATTTTGTTTTGTTTAATTTAATTTTTATTCTATTTTATTTTCATTTCATTTCACTTAATATATTGATAACATCCATTAACATGCACCGTTATCAGTAATCATTCACACAAAGTGTTTAACATTTCTATTGCAGTCTTATCTTATCTGCATTTACAAAGCTTTTATGAGCCGAAGAATGATTTCATTGTTTCTCAGAAAAAATTCAATTAGTCAAGAATTATTTGCGGTTTTTATTTTTAATTGAACATTTTTATCATGATGAAGATAATTTTGTTTGAAATGTTTTTAAGCTTTTGCTGGTTTATGTGTATGTGTATTTGCATACCTCGTAGGTAGGATGTATGAAGTATGCAGAATTTCTTTCGTTTCGTTGATATTGTCCATACTGAATGGATTTAATATTCTTCTACCCACTTCTAAAAATTGTGAGCTAAATATGTGTAGGTCTGTATATATTTGTTTGTATTTGTATAAGAGTAAGTCTGTGGTCTTGCCTTGCTTTTATTTATTTATGGCGACAACTCATATTTCTTTATTCAGATGAAGTTATGTGTCTGTTCCATAAATAAGACACACCTCTAATTGGCAATATCCCCTTTTAAGGCAGCAGGCCTTCATATTCACTAACAAACCTCTCTATTTTCCTTTTGGTCGATTTTTTTTTATTAATTTACACATGACACATATTCTGGTTTGTTTCTATTTGCCGCCGCTTACGGTAACTTTCATGCCATCATCGACGTGTCTGCCGCTTGACACTTTATTACTAGCTATTTTCACCGTTATGATTGACTGTCGCGGCGAGAGGAGCTCTCTGCAGTCGTTTCCATCGTTTTCTCGCGCCTGCTCTTGCTTGTTAGACGAGCACTTTTTCCGTTGCGACAGCAATAACTGCTTAAGAAGAGCAAACGTTCATTATTTTTAATTTTCAATATATTTCGGATTTTTCCAATTCTTTATGTAATCTTATAGTGGCTGCCAAACGAGAAGTGGAAAAAGCGAAAGAATGAACTGTTTTTCCTGAAACGCAATTTTTTTTAGTTGTTTTTACAAGAATTAAAAAGCCTCGCGCTTTTTGTCCAATTTTCTGATTGCCCTTTGCCTTGCTTCCGACTCGGTGCTATTTTACGTTGGAAGAGACTGCAGCCACTTTTTTTGCAGTTGTTTGTGCTTTCAAATGCTTTTTTGTGTGCGTTAGCTGGCATTGTTCGAGAACAAAGAGGAAACAAATAACCATTCACTAGCGACAATCCATACACCATGGCCGAGCTCAGCGCCAACTGCAGCAGAAGCAGCAAGAACCGTCGGTGGCAGCAGCTGTCTCTTAATGCATTCAACGCGGCTGCGAAACTGCGGAAATAGGTTCTTAACAACATTGGGTAAATATTGGTTGAGAAGATAATTGTTGTCTTTAGAGCTGCTAAGAGCTTTGCTTGATGTACTTTGCTTTAGTCAGATTTCAGGTGCACTCTAGAAACCAAACGTATCAGCGAAGACGAAAATGGAGCTGGAGTATAAAACATGCGGTTTTCCTTCGTTTCAAAAATGGGATGATGGATTTTGTATATGCTTCCGTCCATGAACGAGCCTTAGAATTCTGATGTATTGTCATCACTTTCCGTGATAGTTACACCGAAGATGTACTCCCTCCGTTACAAATATGAACTAGCACTGCAAGATTTATAGTGAAGACCCGCTGCAGCCATCGTAATAAAATATGGCTTGACTTCTGGTAAGACCAACAGTGAAAGGGATGTTTTTGATGGGTTCCCAGTTTATTTCAATACTTTTGGGCAGAAATTGTAAAGCTGGTATAGAAGATCGAGTGTGGCGCTAAGATTCGTGAAATATAGTCTCTACAGCAGATTAATGTAGTTCTACGTGTATCCAATTCATAACCGAGATCAATTGAACAAGTTGAGAAGAGAAAGCCGTTAGTGCCACAAAGTACAAAGAGCCCAGCAGATCCATCAAGCCTACGGAAAGACCAAATTAAAGAGCTTCCAAGACAGCTTTTCTATCGGACTTTGATCATTTAATGAAACTCAGCGCTGACATCAGCCCAGACAGACTTTATCCAATGCATAAAAAGACCACAAAATACATTTACATATGTACACATAAGTACATACATACATTTGTGGCTGTAAAGCGCCAATGTTGGCTCTAATTTCGGTGCTGAGTTTCTTTGGTTTTTGACTATGATTTCGAGTCGAGTGTCTACATGATGTTTTTGCAGCGAACCACTCGTCTACATACGAGTACGTGTCTATGTAAGTAAATATAAGTATTCAATTTTATTTTTTAAGCTTTTTTATGTTCCACTGTGACCAAAACGAATGAGCAACCGAGCCGCATGTGGGAAAAGTATAACCAAACAAAAGCAACACTAACAACAGCAACAATATCAGAAACTCCACATATGGTGTGGTCTCAAGTAATAGTCGCAACGGCGCCGGAGCGGCAGCTTCTGGCTGGCTCGTCGTTGGCTGCTCGCTTGTGGGCCAAGCATTCGCGCTGCTGCCTGTGGTCGCTCTTTGTCGCTGCTCGCCTTTGCCATTGCCGTTCCGTTCAGCTTGGCTTTCAAGGCGGCTACACAGCCAACTGGCCATCAGTCGTTCGGCGTTGATTACCGTGTGCGGTACGTAGTTTGCTCCAAAGCAACGCTAAGCTAAACAAATTATTGGCAGTTCGTGCTCAGCCAGTACGAAACAACACGTGAGCAAGAAGCAGAAAAAGGAAAAAGTAAATAAACAAAGAAATAATTGCAATTAAAAATTTCCATTGATTGGCATTGATAACGGTGCTATAGAAATCAGAGGAATAGAAAATATTGAAAATCGAAAATCGCAGCTTCTACTTTAACTCGCTCCAGTGAGTGGTTGTTTTTGTTATCGTCGCGATAAATCTATCAACAGGTGGGTTGCTTACTGCAAAATACATACACACAAACCAATACTGAAAGACACGTACAGACATGCAATATTTTGCTTGACTGTACGTGTTTTTTGGTGTTTTTGATTTTTGGTCTTTAGCATTGTTATTGCACGGCTGAGCTTCGTGCAGTTTACGTGGGAAATGTTTGCTTTGGCGAAACTTCCGGCTAAGTCGATCCAATCCATTTGGTGCAGTCGCCTTGTGAGCGAGTTATCGCCTGTATTTTCGCCACTCGTTAGTGCGATACGTGCTGATTTATTAGGTGATGTGTTTTCAGCGCCTCCTGCTGCTGGTTTTCGCGTTGATTTACCAATGCTCGTTCCCTTCTTTGTTTATTTGTGAGCTTTTGAACCGCGTCGTAATTGCGATTTTGCATCGGCAGTAAAAAATAAAATTAAATAAAACTGAATGAAATAAGTTAGTATGAGAAAAAATAAAAAAAGGTAAAGTAAAATAAAAATAGAGTGAAACTGAAAAAAAAAATAAAAAAAGGAAAAATAAAATAAAATAAATTTATATGAAATAAAACAAATTAAATTTAAATAAAATCAAATAAAATATAAAATATAAAATTATATTTAAAAAGTAAAATAAAATAAAAAATAAAAAAGTAATATAAATTAAATTAAGTAAAATAGAATAAGACAAAAATAAAATAATATAAGAGATAAAAAAATAATAAAATGAAATAAAAAAGAAAAATAAGATAATTTAAAATAAATTAAAATTAAACAAAGTGAAACATATTAAAATGAAATGAAAATAAATAAAATAAAACAAAATAAAGTTATAGATATAAAACTAAGAGTTATGTATGTTAAGTAAAAATGTAATTCTCCGTTCAAGCATTTAATTACCGCTAAGCTAAAAGCTTACAATCGAATTTTATGATTTCTGAGAAACGAATAACAGAGACACGCAAACTACAGCCGAGAAAAGAGAATTTAGACAAGAACAAACAGAATTAATCCGCATGGAAGATTTTGTGGTTGTATATTTATGTGTACATATGTATATACAACATGTGAGTCAAATTACAGATGAATACTAAACATGCTTTTGTTGTGAAAAATATTACACAATTATATTTTATCTAGTAGAATCAGAACAAAATGCAAAGGGTGACCACTTGGACACTGAAATTAAAATTATAATAAATAATAAAATTTTCAAATGCATATCCTTAGTTTTAAGTACACGATTTGTTGTTAGAATTAAGTGGCATATTAAAGCTTGAAAATTGATTTTTTTTTTTTTTGTATTTTTTCCGCTTCTGTCCCAAATATAAAGCCTGAGCTATACACATTTCAAATTTTTAGTTTTCCTTTTAATTATTTCGTCCACAATTTTTGCAGACATTTAAGAACTCTTTCCACTTGAATTTATTTTACTTTATTGTTGTTGTTATTGTAAGTGGTTATAAACCGGTTGCCTACAACGCTCTGTTTCTCGGCTAGATTTCATACGATATTTCCAAGGAGATAACAGCTTTAATTTTTTACGGCAAGTACTTCAGTTAATATTTAGTTGCTATTGCATTATTATCTCTTTATTTTGTGCTTCGTTGCTTGAAACAACGCCAACGCCAACGCCAACGCCAACGCCGACGCCAAGGCACACGCAACTGCTTATAAAATGGGGCTTTTAGAGTACAAGGCGAGAAGCAGAAGACAATGTAAAAGAGTTGCTTAATAATTATTTGTATTATTGTTATGGTTGTGTTGTTGTAGTTGAGCGATGCGTGCAACGATACAAACACACGCACACATACATTCGAGTATATTTGTGTTGCGAATGCAATAATTTAAATTGGTGATATAATGAGGCAACGAAATAAATAAATACATTTAAATGGTGTTGCCAGTGAAGGTGGCTCCCCGAAGACGTGAGGAGCTTGTTAACGTTGGCACATGGGCCGTTTTGGTAATATTTGGTAATCGAAAGTGTGTGCGTACACGATTTAATGATTTTTTATTCGTTTTTAAATGTCTTTGTTTAAACTTAGATATATATAGGTGCATGTGAACGCAACAATTTGGTTTCATGCTCCAAAAAATATCACCAGACATTACAGGCTTTCAATTGGGCTGTTACTTCATAACCGCTTGAGGCAAACTCAGCTATTATTAATTCCTAATGAATAATTAAAATGAATTAAAAAAGGACAGAAATTTAAAAATAATATAGAGTAATAATATACATTGAAAACAATAAAAAAAATTATATTACATAAAGATAAATAAGAAATAAAATAAAATAACAACAAAACAAATCAAAATAAAAAATAAATAAAAATATAAATTAAACAAAATCAATTTGGCAAACTTACCTACCTTATTTACTTGTATGTAACTTCGATATTTTATTCTTGTTTACTAAGGTGTATAGGAAATTACTCACAAAGACAGACCTACTGTTGCTGCATAAATCAATTCCAAACATTCGCCAAACATCCCCTGTAACTGTATGCATACATACATACGAGTACACTCGTGTTTAAATCTTTGTATAATGTGACTTTACGTTCGCATCGTTAATGAAATTTCCCAGCAAATAATGAGGCAGCAGATCGCTGCCAGCAAATTGCCTCCCATACTACACATACATGTACTTTTGCACGCCTAACGAGATATTTAGACTGTGAAATAGCAAGTCAAACGGTTGCCTAACTGAGTGGCATACACTTAACGCACATATAATGATATAAACGCACATACATACATATGTACGAATGCACAGACGCAGATCTACACACCGCCCATTCATTATCGCAAACACCATCTGTACGAAACGATAGCGGTGGCAAGTACACACATACTTATACATATCCAACAAGAGCAACAAGTCAGCCGCTCCATGTGCCAAATGGCTGTAGGTATCAATATCAGCAAACAAAAAGCACAGCAACCACAGCATCGCTTTTGATACTAACAGCTTCATTAGCAAATAAATTTAGCAAACGCGGTTTCCAGCTGCCAGTTGCAGGTGTTGTTTAGTATAAATAAGTTAATAAAACACCCGAATGGGTTTCGTACCAAATTTCATTTTATTATACATATTTTTGAAATATTCGTGGTAGTATCATTTTTAAGCAGGTGGCAAGTTTTTTCAAAAACGTTACCAAGCTGAATAAAAACATCAATATTTTAGCTTTTGGATAACTTTTGGTATTTCATTTATTTTTATATATATTTTTTTTCGAAAGTAACACAAATACTTGCCACTTTGAGCCACCTTAAAGGACTTTATTTTTTAATGCGAAAACATTAGTTAAATAATTTTAACAATTTTATTGGAAGATTGGCGATTTTACTTATCGAAATTAAAGAAGAAAATAAATAAAAAAAATTATGATTAAGTTGAATACACCACAGCAAATACATTTAATATTTAGTGTATTTTTTTCTCTTCGCCTTTTTTATTGATGCTGGTTTCTTAGTGCTCAAAACACTTTTGCATCATACGGTTTTTGTTTGCATTTAATTAACCTCAAACTGCATGAGACACCAAAACGCCAAAAGTGAATTCGGACTAGAGCAGCTTTTGCGCCAAAAGCATAAATTATTAGCGAACCAAAAAAAAAAAAATGCAACACGAAACAAATGTAAAAAAAGATAAAAAACTCGGCAGCTAAATGCGCAATGAACAAATAAAAACTCAAGTGAATTCAACTTCGTTCGATTTAATGAAGTTTCACCGCCAAAGCTGCTAATCAGATAATAAGCGGCAAATCAAAAGATTTGAAAAAGTCTATAAAAAATAAACTAAAAGTTAATTATACAAAAGATAGAAAAAAATATCACCTTATAATAAAACTAAAGAAATAATATATCAATAAAACAAATTATAATTATAAAAAAATGTATAAAAATTTTAAAAATATTGCGACGAAAATCAGATGAATGGCCGAAAAGAAATATTTAAAAAAAAATTTAGCAAAGGAAATATAAGAAACTTAAAGCAAAAATAAAAAATTTTATTAAAAAGTTAACAAAATATTATTCTAAAAATCGAATGAAAGATTTAAGGGACATATTAAAAACTTGAGAGAAATTAAAAAAAAATTATATTAAAGTTATTATAAAAATAAAATGAAAGACTCAAAAGAAATATAAAAAATTTAAAAAAGTTTACAAGAAAAATTTTACAGAATTATATAAAAATTACGATAAAAAAATAAAAGTCAAATGAAAGTTCCAAATGCACCGTTATAGCGCAACCAAAACCTGTGCTTAACGGTAGAAATGAAAACTTTCAAGGTAAATAAACGAGAGCAAATACAACAAATAAAAAATATTTAAATCCAAAATAAAATAAGCAGCTCTGTAGTTAAAAAAAACCGTTATTAAGATGATAAAAAATTTAATTATTTAATAATAGTTGAATTCGGGACATACAAAACTAATTAAAAATAAAAATAAATTCAAATAAAAAATAAATATTTTATGCTTGCACCATAAATTGCTTAATAAGTGTGATTTTGCTGGTTTTGCAGCGCATGCAATTGATGTATATATATATATATATATATATATAAATATGCTTTATATTCTTTTCGATGGTAATAGAAAAAAAAATCATGTAATTATTGTTTTGTTTTTGGAGTTCATTGTACTGCACTGAAGAAACCAATTTTTGTTAAACATACAGACATGTCGATTGCATGACTTGCATGACTTGCTTGTAATTGCTAAAGAAAGTCTTTAAAAAAGAAAACAATTTGTGTTTAGGTGTTTAATTAGTAAATGAGTAGAAGAAACCCAAAGAAACGAAGAAAAAGAAAAAAATTTAAAAAAAGAAAAGAAAATCAAAATAATAAAATTTTTCATTTAAAGTTTACAGAAAAAAAAAGTTTGTATAAAAAAATTCCAATGTTTTCAATTATCACTCAGATATCATTCACTGAAAAAATTATTTATTGATGCCAATTTTCGTAAAAATTCATACTAAGAGATTAAGAAATTTTCCAAAAAATAATTGC